AGTCAGTGCCCCGCCCCAACAAATGGGATGCTGCTGGCTCTGCTGCGGCTGTGTCGGCTGCTGCGGAGACTGAAAACACCCGAAACCACCAGGCGCCAGGGGGTGCGCCTGGGTACTACTACTACTACTCCTCCTCCTACTCCTGCTGCTGCTGCTGCTGCTACTGCTACTGCTACTGCTACTGCTACTGCTACTGCTACTGCTACTGCTGCTGCTAATAATACTCTGACAAATGCCATTGCTACTATTCATGAAGGGAAAGTGCCAAATAATTAGACCCTAAAGGTCGCTGGCACATGTGTTTATATGTATATACATGTCTCTCTTTTTATGTATGTACATACATGTCTATCTGTTAGCAGGGCTCCGAAATCCTGCGAGATTCTTCGCATCAACCGAAATCCCAAGTCGAGGCTAGGTAGAAACCTCGATCTGCTTCAACGTGTAACCCTGGCACTTGCATAAAACCCTGATCTCCTAAAGGCCTAAATAGAAATTCTAGGCAAAGAGAGAGTGTTCGAAAACAGCGAACACCCGGGGCCACGTATCCAATAACTTGGTGGTTGGCTAAACTTAGTAGTAATTGCACTATCATTTTGAGATACTTGGAGCCCAAGGGCTGCATACCAACAGTTAGCCTTAGTTGTAGCAAGTCCAGAGGCTTATACTCCCCTATACCGTAGACCCTCAATCAAGTCCATTGTATGCGCGAACCCTTCGGGACAAACAAATCCGATCTTGCCTACAACCACAATGCAGGCCCCGTAGTTACGACCCATGAAACAAGTAGGCTCAACCCTAAACCCTTAAAACATCCAAAAACCGTTAACCCCTGAACCTCTGAACCCAAGTGCCAAGAGAGTTCAATGCCCTCTAACTGAGGAATATGCCTTAACTTGTACTAGGGTCCCTATATGATTCAAGGTATATTCCTTGATTAAGGGGTATTGGGTTCCCTGGTTAGCCGTCCCAAGGATTGCATTTGGGAGAACACGGATGCAAAAGTTGAGATTGTTTATGACATCGAGCGCTTTCTGGCGACTGGACCAATTCAGTTCCATCAGGTAGGTGGGTTTCGGATATTGGGATTGCAGGGATCAGGGCCCACAACCCTAAACGTTTAGGATCCAGGCATTCAGGTTCGGGGCCTAGGGTTTAGGGCGTGGAGCTTTACGTTGGTTTTCAGGCAAGAGCAGGGAAGAATGCCTGCCTGGCAAAACAGGCATGCAACACGTTACTTGGAGTCAACGACACCTATTAGCATGTTTCATAGCCCGCATAAGCCATCAGATGACCCCAGTCATTTACCTTAGTAGCCTACTTACTAGTCCCCGTGACGCTCCAATTAGTTACCTCAATACTCAGGAGCGACAGTTACCTTTCTAAGAAACATGGTGGAAGTTTCTCAGCACTCGAAGCTGTCCATTTATTAGGCTTCAGAGGGACCTCATATGAGCAATAGTCTAAACTCCTAGTATCCCCCCTAATAACCCCTATAATACTCCCCAATATAATCCCCCTTATAACCCCCTTTAAGGAGTTTAGACTATAGTACATATAGAATCGCAGGCTTCTCTCTTATTATCCCTTGGGTCCTCGAAGAGCACCGCGGCTCTGCGAAGACCCGTGCCATGAAACTCAAAAGTTTCATGCCTTATGGGGATTGGTCTATATTCTCTATAATACGGGGTCCTATATTTGGGTTCCCATTTTGGGAACAGTAATCTAGGGAAACTTCCTTATGGGTTCCCTTGACCCACAGATATGATCCTTCTCCTATGTTACTGAGCTTAATTAGGCTTAGCTATCCCTTAATCCTAACTAAGGGGGAGCCTAGCGGGTAGTACAGGGGGTGGTCAAGGAACCCATGCATGCAATTTAGGTGAAGCTTCGGCACAATGTCGTCCTGGGCAACGGTGAGCAGATAGAGAGTAAAGACGCAACAGGCTGCTTGGCTAATCTTTCAAGCCAACTTCGTCTTTCCTTACATAATTCCTGGCCCTTAAATGATGTAAGGTTTCTATACTGCAGGAAGCAGAAGGCTTCTAGTCGGATCCTTCTAAAAAGTCTTGGGCGGTGTTCCACGAACACGTACGTAGAACCTTCAGTTGGACCCTCATAATAATTCCAGTGCAAAACCTCATCATATATCCCCAGCCCTACAGGACCCGGCCCACCCGCCAAAAAGCCAGGATTCCTGAAGTTTCCAGATGATCCAGAGCAGCTGCTTGCCGGATGTCAGGATAGATTTTGGATACTGCCCCTGTCTAATATCCCAGGTCATGGTTGGAGATCGCTTTCAATTTTTATTGTCCTAAAGGCTAAACAACGAATATGCAACGACGATGTTAGATAGTATCCAAAAAAGAGCATGAGCCTGATTGACATCCCAGGTTCACTGTTTGACCAGTTTAGGGCTTCCCCTTAAGCGGCTTTGCGCTTGAAAAGCTAGTTGGTTTAGTCGTATCAACGTGGAAGGCAACCTAGTCCAAGTAGGGCAAAGGTTTTGAGAGCGACAAGGGCGCAGCGTTCGGATGGCGGACCCCTTCTAGACATATGCTTCTGATGTAATGCCCCAAATGGGACATCAAGTATATACACTCACCAGTTTTCCTAAGGAACCCAATATCTACGCACCAAAAAGCATCACAAAAAACCCAGAGCCTTCCCCGAAAAGTGGAGGGGGCAAGGTGTGCAAGGGATGGTCATGGAGAGTACCCACATGCAAAATAAACTGGCACATGAGATGGGAATTGTGTGTTGTCTAGAAATTTGTCATGATTGAGGGGGTACTGTCCTCACCCAGTAACATTCTATACCAGGAGTAGTACGAAGGGCTGTATGTACGTACAGCATGGACATTATCCAACTGACACTGAGTCGGGATTGTGCTCAAGGCATACCCCAGGCAAGTGTCATGCACTACACCGACACGCTGAACGGGTCGTCCTTTGTAGACACCTGTTTTTTTTAGGAAAGGCGCTTATACGTTTGTACGTTGTTTTTTCTGTCTTTTGGGAGGGTGTGGTAAGCCCTCAACAATTCTGCATGCAATCCCTTGGATACCCCTGCCCCAAACACAACACCATGTATTGTACACAGTCCATAGGCACTCCCCTCCATGCAGTGCAATGTCATATCATCTCCATGTGATACAATCGGGGCCCTCTAGTTACATGCGTGTATATATGTATGCATTACCCCGACATTACCCACCTAGTTACAAGCGAACTTATACCTAGCTTGGCGTCCTTGCACATGTCAAATCATATGCATCTGGTCAGGTGTTGTGGCCAGGGACAAATTTTCCTTACTAGCGCGCAAAATGTCGGCGGACTCAGAATGGGGATAACTGGGGTTATTATGTGGCTTGTAGGGGCTGGAAGTGAACCTACTGCGTTCCCCTGACCCCTCAAGTAGGGCTTACCTAGATTTCACACCAGACATAACGGCCAGGGTATGCAGGCTGTTTTGTTAGCTATTTGGGAAGCATAGGTAGGTTCAATGATCTAGTGAAGGCTTAAGGCCCAGTGTGCAAGGTTTACTTCCTTGTGATTGTTAAGGAGGCATGAATCCTTATGTTAGTTCCTATTCAATCTCCCACACCGTCCCAAAACCCCATGCTTGCATTCCCTACTGACCCAGTAAGTGCAGGGCTTCGTGTGTAGGGCTCCGCTCGGTGGCCCTAAACCCTAAAGCTCAAACCCATGAGACATCGAAGGCTTCGAGTCATCAAGTGCGATCCAGGCAAGGAGAAATGCGATTATTCATTGCCGAGCCATGCGGATTACCCAGCATGTGGCCGGGCTTACTTAGATTTCTGGGTTTAACTAAGATGGTTCAATCCATACATGTAGCATTTTATTTCATGTGTTGCTGGACTTAGATGCATGAAGCAAACAGCCTTAGTTAGCAGAGTCGCGACCCTTTTTTGCCTACCCGCGCCTGCAATTTGAGAAGAAGGCGGAAAGTAATACAGGCGGCTACATGCGGTTACTTGTCGTGTAATCCTGGAGGTTACCCTACAAGGCGCCTGTCCATTCTCTGAACACGCCCGCGCCCTAGATTCCCAACCCAGACCCGCTAAAGGATCCAAAAAATGCAACCCCCTAATAATCCCCCAGTTTCCCCGATGTAGTAATGGATTCATGTTTGGGGGTTCCATTTTTTGGATTCTTAGGGGGTCCGGGAAGCCTTGAAGCCTTGAATCCATTCACCCCGAATTGTGTCGAACTCTCCTAAACCCTAGCCAGGCGTAGAAAATCATGGGTCTACATTACGTCTAGTAGTTGCCATTTTCTTGTCCAGTATCCCTATATATCCCCAATATACTACAGTAGTTCCATTTTTCCATTATCCCTACATAACCCCTAAACCCTAAACCCTAAACGGGTTAGGTGGCAGCACATCTTCAGATGCAGAATCTCCTTGCTTCACCACCGGCTTCGCGGAACCTGGGCTTGCAGGCTTACCATCCCTCACTGGGGGGGGGCTTTACAAACAACCTTATAGCAGTTCATGAGACGAACTATAGTCTCAAGTCCTTCGAAGGGGCTTATACAAGGGATTTCTATAGGGGTTATGCAGGGTGATAATTACTTGTATGCCGGGGAGTTTAAAAGGGGTTATGAAGGGTGATACCAGGAGTTTAGACCATAGCTCAGCTTGGGTTCATCGAGGAAAAATCATTGGGGGGTGAATTCGTTCGGTGTTCAAGACTGGAATTCTGCCTGCTTACGTGGAAGCAGTTTTTATAAGGGCATTTTGAGGTTCTTTGTTGGTGTGGCGTGCGGTGTTTGGTAATGCATGGTTCTGGGTCACGGATTTGCTGCGTTTGGGGGCTTAAGTTCTTTTTGGCTAGGAAATTTGGCTATGCGCTTGTGGATCCAAGGTTCCCAAAACGGATAGCAAGTTATCAGAGCCCTAAACAATAAAGTGTAAACCCAGACCCTAAAACCTAAATAGTAGTTTCCATTTTCCACCACCCCCAGTATGCGACAACATAACCCAATATAACATTTGGTCCGGGGACTGGTCAGGATCTGTACTTCCTAAGGCTGGTCTGAAGCTGTTTCAAGTAATTACACTGGAACCTATCCCCCTCCCCAAAACAACAGGTCACCAATCACCAATGCTTGCCCTGTGCGTAATGGAAGTCTATTGCGGGCGCTTTTTCATTTTATCTTCACAAGCCTCCTTGCAACATTTCACACCAGTGGCTTCAGCGGTTGGATGGGCGATCCGCACCGATTTAGGTCCCTGTCATGTTTCAGGGGCTTCAGAAAGTGCAGGGCGTAATGTTGTATGGACAGCGAAGAGTGATCCCCCCATGAAACCTGTTCTGCGATTTTGGTTTGCGGAGGGCAGGGGGGCACAAAAATGAACCAGGGGTCCTGCGCTGATAGCACCTAAATCTACGGAACTCCAGAAGCATTCCATGACTCCGTTTATTATTGTCACACCCGCCTGTTGATGCCGATAAATCTGTTTTTTTAGGATTTGGTTTCCTACCTTGTTCGAAAGCAGCAATTGTAGTCTTCTGGATGCTTTTTCGGCCTGGCAGAGAGAATCGTTTCTGCACTCACTTTCTTAGTGGCAGATGATTGGTGCACCTCCCAAATAAAAACCTTGTACACCACAATCCAGGATTTCATCTCCTTGAAAACACTGCTCCGCGCAGCGAACACCTCCCTGGATGAAATCATCGCTGACTTGCCACGGCGATGGTGGGGGACCTCTGACTTGCTGAGTAAGCTACATCCCTCAACTAACCGGTTCCTTCTGAAATTGCGTGCACGTATGCAACGAGCTTCCCAATTCATGGGGTAGTTTCTGAATGGTGCGCGTAAAGCCTTTGAGCATGAGACGTGTCCTGAACTTGAGTTCTAGTTTGCAGGACTCGGGGTTTGGAAATGCAGCAACTACTTAGACCCCCGCACGGGTTCGCAACCTGGATGCCGTAGGAGAACACGCGGCAGTATATGTGCGCTATATATGAGAAGTTATATATACACATATACTTGTTTTTTATGCGATCTCTTTTCTGCGACCCTCCCAAAACTTGGTATAGGACCTACTTGCAAGTGGACATCCAATATGCCAATGACGACCTCCGCGACTATTGGCTGGGATCTTTCCCATCATTGCAGTTGCGGCAAAGGTATCTTGGCTCCACTTTTCTACAACTTTTGCACTTTACAACTTGTGTGGCTCCTCTATGTCATATGAGGGGAGCTGACCTTTAGCTTAAACTTTTGGTGGGGCACTTGCCTGAAGATCAGCCAAGGTATGTCTACTCTGTGCGGAAGCTGACAGATTACGTCTGGAACCTGGGCAAATTTTAGCTACCTTACCTAAATTGTGTTTTGGATATGGTACAGGCGCAAAGTGGCCTCCCTATTTGTCTGCGAATGTCCGAAAAGAACCCATTTCACAGGGATCTCCCCAAGAAGTCCTCAAATTCTTCAACCCTCGCTAAGCCCTAATAACACCCACTATACAACAATCTTACACAGACAACCCGCTTTTACATATACAAGGACCCCCAAACCCAATTCCCACTGTGCAATTATCTAACCCATATAACCCCTTTACATATACAGGGATCCCAAAACCCCAAAACCCCAAACACAAAATCGAGTTTTTGGAAACCGCCATCTAGCCAGAGGAATGCCGAGACGCAGAAAACGTCCCAATCTGAGCGAAGGTTGATCCGTCATGCTGGAATCTGGGCAGGGTTCAGGGTTAAGGGTTTACCCACATGGTCCAGGTGCTCAAATAAGAAATGCTTAGGCCTAAAGTACTCATATGGGTATGCGTGTATATATATATATAGAGAGATACACACACACACACACTATACACTATACATAGGCACCTGGGCGCTTTGCGGTTAGCCGTTAACAAGTTTAATCAATGCTTCTCAAGGTTCACGGATAGTGGGAAAATGAAAGGGAAACTTGGGGCTATAGAGGGGCTGTAGGGATGTAAGGAATTAGAGATGAAGTAAGTACCACTACAAGAAACTTGGTGCTATAGAGATGTAAGATACGTTAATACACTGCAAGAAACCCTCATGTTTTCTTTTTTTCTATATGCCCTTACCATGAGAGCTTCTTTTCAGTTCCTGAAGAGCGACCCAGGAATCCGTATCATGGTTGCTACTGGCTGCGAGTTAAAGATGTTTTCTACACTTTCTGGGTTAGGCGTGAAGGGCTTCAAGAGGTTTGAAAGTTTTCAGATGTGCAACCTAAACCCGGTGCAGACGGTCCACGCGAGATGCGCGCAACGCCGCTGGTTGTAGGGTTCAAACTTTCCACAGGTCCGCTTTAGGGATCTTTGATTCTTGGAGTGCTGGTTTCTGCCTATGAGGTCTAGGGCATACGGTGTAAGGTGATACTTTTGCTTCCTGGGGTACTGTGGGCTCAGGCTATCCATGGAAGCTGGAAGCACTGGAACTGGCTGAATGTCCTGCGCACGTTAGCAATCTTCGGAGTGTTGTGGAAGATCACCGTGGTCTTGGCGGCGTATCTGTCCATTGGGTAAGCTTCAAGTTTTGGTAGTGACTTAAACCCAAGTATGCTTGAACCAAGTATGACAACCATACATAACTCTTGAAACCACGATCCCGGGACATTACATCTGCGCTTGCTCCCATATAGCCCACTTACAACACCCCTATCTACAGATGCTGGACAACAAAGGTGGACATTCTCACTTTGAAAGTGTATGGGCAGCTGCCGGGTTTGAGGCATCTACCCCACCTGAGGCCAGATGGTTTTTACACTCTTCTAAATGTACAGCTTAGGATTTTGGGCTCAGGGTTTAGAGCTTAGGTCTTTCGAGCCCAACCCATCCCAACCCCAAAGATTGGGACCCTATGATAGTCATAGGGTAGTTAGGTCGTACTGATTTCAGGGGTTGGGGCAACTGAAATCCCGTCATTCCCAATTTATGGAAAAGGTTTGGGTGAAGGGGGGTGGTTGAATCGGGGGAGGTATGAGAGATGCAGAGGGTGCCTTGGGTGTACCAGGGAAGCTGAGGAACGTGGGCCCTGGAAGCACTGCCCCTAAGGACCTTGGGAACTAAAGCGGCATTTAAATGACATTTTGGGAAACGCCTTCGCCGGTTCTTAGTGTCTGTTCATGGTCCAAGTGTGGAACTATGTGACCACCCCGCGCTACAGAATCTGAGTTTTTCCCAACCGTTGTGGCGCACCCCTTAACGCAGAATCTTCATTCGCTGAGTCCCAAACCGCGAAACCTAAGCCTTGATCGTTGCCAATGCAGTGTCCAGCTACCAAGCAGCCTACCTTAGCGTTATTTAGGGTCTAAGGCTCCTTTTTGGGGGCTAAGCCCTGAACCTCTGAGCAAATCATACCAACCGCATCTCCAGCGGCGGTTTGCATAGAAGATAGTCCCAGACGGCCGTAGTGCGATCTTTGGATTTAGAGTTTAGGGTTCAGAGATCCAGCCAATAGATCCCCACACCACGGCTTCAGGCATTACTACAGCGTGACAGAGACACCGCACCACGACCATGTGAAAACGTTGAGCCACGAGGAGTCGCCGGACCCATTTGGTTGGCAGTGCCAAGTAAGGACGGTAAAGTCACCAATAACGAGCGACATTAGATGGGCCATATTCTAAACTCCTGAAAAAGGGGTATGTTTCGGACTACATTGAGGCGTATTTATAGGGGTTATTAAGGGGAATACTGGGAATTAAGACTATACTTCATATGTTCGTTTTGGTTGAAGCGTTTCGTGAGAATAGAATAGTCTAGCCTCGTTCAATTAATTGATATTAATTGCCAAAGACCAGTACCCACTGGGTGTTTGTGGGTGCAGGGTTTAGCATAAAATAGGAGCCTGATTAATGAGTAGTCTTGATGCCTCAGAACCCGGACGTACCTTTTGCAGAAGGTGTCTGGAAATTCTTTTTTGTTCTTGTAGATCTCCATATTGCAGAGGGTACACGGTGTACTAAGTTCCTTTTCCGTGACTGCCTCCCTCAACCTGCAAGAGCTACGATTTAGGGTTTGGTTTCGGGTTTAGGGTCTGGGGGTGCTTCCGCAAGCAAGGACAGCAGGTTTCAAAGCCAAGTTCCTAGCATTGTGGCTTGCCATCCAAGGTGGGTCCCCAAGTTACCCGATGGTACCTATTTTATATTCTCTTGCTACAACTTCTGGGGTCTTATGGGTATATCGTACCTGTCTCCCTATTCGAAAAGTCGTCCTTTGTACGCTTGCGCTTTGTACCCTGGGGGTTGGTTCCCTACCTAGAGCCTCCAATGTAGTACCTTCTTGGTAGTCCTAATAAGGGTCCTAACCCAAAACGCATAACAAACCCAAAAGGAACTACATTGGAGGTTCCAGGTAAGCCATGGAATGCAGCCCTCAATTAGCGCGTCTGGGGCCCCAGTTCTAAGGTTGCAACCATGAAGGACACAAACTTAAAGGCCTTAGGGGTTTAGGGTTTGGGGTTCAGGTTTGGGGTTCAGGGTTTAGGGTTTAGGGTTTTTAGGGTTTAGGGTTTCCTAGTACAAGCTACCGATGGCTCAGTATGAAACTACGAGGCCCAGACCCGAACATTTCGGCGTTCAGAAAAACATTGTACCGCGCCACTTCCTCTATTAAAGCCCGACTTGTACACAAGTGAGGAAATTCCATGATCTACCTTTCCATGCGATGTTGGCCTGTCTAGTGGCCTGATACCAGAAACCCTAAATGGTAGTTTCCCAAAATAGGGGGACCCAAATATAGATCCCAAAATACTATAATCCTTATTATTGGGTCCCCCAAAAGGGTACCCCTAATTTCGGGGGAACCCCTTAGCCCTACAAATCCCTATATAATCCCTACATAATTCCTATATAATCCCTACATAATTCCTATATAGCTAATTTTGGGAAACCTCCAAATCTTTGTGGGCTTCTTGGATTTGAGCTGGCTCCCTCCAGCCGCACCCACGTCTTCCCCCGCTGCAGCCTAAACTTCCTCAACCTCACTATTATATTGTAGTAGTTTCCATTTTCTTTTCCATTATCCCCCAATATATCCCCAATATATACCCTATAACCCCTATATAACCCCTATAATCTATGTAGTTTTATCCCCCATATAACCCCAATATATACCCCAATATATACCCTATATAACCCCTATGTAACCCCTATATAACCCTAAACCCTCTGAATGGCCCAGGTTGGAACGGGAGAAGAAACAGTACCGTCAGCAAAAGTTGAAACAGATCATCAGGGAAGAGGAAGAGGACGAAGCGCGGTGAGGGCTTAGGGCAGTACACACGTCTGGTCCATAACTTGAATAAATGGAAGGTCAATCGGCTTCCTGGCCAAGACCTTCAGCAGCTAGGCATAAGAAGGTCATACTATAGTACTACCTCGCAGGTAGAGATGGTCCATGTTCCAAACGTGCACTCGTTCGCAACCATCTTACGCTGAATTACTATTTCCCAATCCCAAGTACACGGCCATGGGTACGGTAGAAGCCGAGAAAACGTTCAATACTTTTCCGGAACAACTTCTTTTGTACTTGTAGTATCATGTACCCCCAGGCTCTATTCAAGGGTATTTGTGTCCTGACATTGAATTCCATCATGCGGCCCTTCAAATTCGTAGTTTCCGTTTCATGTTACATATTCATATCCGGTAGGAGGACCCCCCACCCTGTAATAGTGGTGTAATAAGAGTATAAGAGGACCCTAATATAATTAATCCCTATTATCCCTTATAGCCACTATTACTGGGTGGGCGGTCCAGCTAACATATCCGTTTGACTATCCAATATTCTGTTTTCTTTAGGCCTCTGCAGGAGTTTTTTCGAGGTACCTACGAGACTGATGTGTCACAGGCTCTCTGTTTTGAAGGTTGGGGAAAAGCAAAGTTCCCTGCTTTCTGCTTCATAATGCCTACACCAGGTTACTGACCCTAATATTGAGGCCTTCTTGTGCCAAAAGCACATCGGAATATAATGTCTGCGGCCGGGCGGCCAAGGTATAGCCTCCCAGCCTAAAATGGCTCAGGCCTTTGCATTTGCAACCAGTGGAGGGTTCTTAGGAGGTTCCTCTAGCAGGAACCTCTACCCCCAACATCCAGATACAACCTCTATGTACAAACCCTTATGTTCCTAGGTAGTCTCCAAATCACCTCCCATAGGTACGAGGGCCCCCACTACGGGTGCTCCTAAAAGCCCATGGAAGCAGGCTTGTTTTCATCTGACTCGCCAGAAAAATACCTCGTCTCAGAAAGGATTCGGGTGAAGGGTTAGGGTTCAGGGATTCACAAAGAAGGGTTAGTCCTAAACCCTTAACAAGCGTATAGGCAATAGTGTTGACTGGAACCGGTGACTATTTCTTGGGGGGTGGGGATGTCAACTTGCAGTGGGAGGGTCGGGGGGCAGGGATTCTTTTAAGGTGCACAGGGATGTGGAACACGTGTCGAACTCACCGCCAATAAATAGAAAGTCGTGCCATAGCTGCCCTGTAAATTATACTTTAACCTACAAAAACCCATATTTTTGTAGGGTCCTATTATATACCCTAGTATAGAATTTATAGGGAACCTACAAAAAAGGTAGGTTCTCGTATGTTAAGGTAGGGTTTAGGGTTCAGGCATCAGCTCCTGTTGCGAGACCAGGGCATGGCTCGGGCATTTAGAATTTACGTGTTATATAGGGGTTATATTAGGGGTTATGTTAGGGGTTATATTGGGGGTTATATTAGGGGTTATATTAGGGGTTATATTGGGATAATGGAAAAGAAAATGGAATCTACTTTTTAGGGTTTAGGGTTTAGGCTTTTGGGATTTATAGTATAGGTTAGGTTGACCCCCCACCCTGTAATAGTGACTATAAGGGATAATAAGGTTTATATTAGGGTCCTATTATATTCCTAGTATACCACTATTACAGGGTGGGGGGTCCTCCTAACGTATAGGGTTTTGAGATTCCTAAGTTCTTCTGAGGGGTGAAGGTCTTTGAGATGGACAGCTTTGCGTTTGAGATGTGGCAGTTTCCACAAGCAGGGTTGTTCAGTGATGCGGGGGTGTCAAAGTAGCGGTTTCTCAAAACTGGTCTTAATAGCCTGACAGTGACCCCAGGATCCGTTTCAAATCCCTATATTGAAGCATGTTCATTTATTTAGTCGTGCATTTATTTACTTGCTTGCTTTTATTTCGTATATAACCCGAGCCAATCATGCAACATTTCCAAGTAGAATCCAGAGGCGGGGTGGCTGCTTCGAACACGCGTTCCAGTTTTTAGGGATTGTGGTTGAACGGCGCTAAGCGGACCCTCTAATGGCCCAAGCCTGCACATACCTTATGAGCACCGCAAAATGCTCCGAGACGGGTGTGTTATGGGTGCTGAATTTTACCGGGAAGCGATGAGACTGGAGATTTGTAGGCAGAAGTCGAGCACCAGCATGTGCTATGTACAACTGCTAGTTGTGTAGTTGGCTGCATGTGTCCCAGCTGTACTTGGGCGCAAATGGCGCAGGTACCTCCATACTTCCAATTCGATCCGAAGACGGTTCCTAAGTAGGGATTTGGGGGCACAAGTATCTACTGCATAGAAAGCAACCTTTTCAGGGGATGACGGGTGAATTATCCAATCCAGGGTAACCAAGTCCATTTAACACGATCTCTTCGCATGTCGGCTGAAGATCTGCAGATGTTCTGCCTTCCAACCCTAAACCCCTAAACCCTAAATAGCCCACATGGGCCGACCTAATTCTGTAAACCCTGCAGCCAAGCCTAGGACCTTATCAACCTTAATTAAGCCCGAAGCCCGACATGGAGGGCTAGGACCACTCGATTCGGATAGTTTCTGCCTTTTCATGGGGTTAAACAGTTCAACCATACTTGTCAACTCCTCATTCCTCTATATCTCCATCTGTTCCACTTTCGAGGAACCCTACATCCCTACATAGCCACTCGGGTCACCCTTCAAGGGGACCCTCTATATATACCCACTCGGTCACCCTTAAACCCCAAACCCCTCATATTCAGATAGTACATATATAACCCCTATTTAACCCCTTTATAACCCCTATATAACTCATATATATATATACATATTTCACTATAAAATGTAAATGTATATACATATACAACTTATACTACCTAAAACCCTAAACCCTGAACCCTAAACCCTGAACCCTAAACCCTGAACCCTGAACCCTGAACCCTAAACCCTAAACCCTGAACCCTAAACCCCATATAACCCCTATGTGACCCTCAACGTTCGGTCCCAGGCCCTGGCCCGCAGCACGACCGCCTACGGCACGCGTGTCAACAAGGACCCGGTCTCGTCCGGGAACTCAGCGTTCACGGTTTAGGGTTCAGGGTTTAGGGTTCAGGGTTTAGGGTTTAGGGTTCAGGGTTTAGGGTTGAGGGTTTCGAGTTCAGCGTTTAGGGTTGAGTGTTTAGGGTTGAGGGTTTGGAGTTCAGGGTTTAGGGTTCAGGGTTAGGGTTCAGGGTTCAGGGTTCAGGGTTCAGGTTGAGGGTTTGGAGTTCAGGGTTTAGGGTTCAGGGTTTAGGGTTCAGGGTTTGGAGTTCAGGGTTTGGAGTTCAGGGTTCAGGGTTTAGGGTTGAGGGTTTCGAGTTCAGGGTTTAGGGTTCAGGGTTCAGGGTTGAGGGTTTCGAGTTCAGGGTTTAGGGTTGAGAGTTTCGAGTTCAGGGTTTAGGGTTCAGGGTTCAGGGTTGAGGGTTTCGAGTTCAGGGTTCAGGGTTTGGAGTTCAGGGTTTAGGGTTCAGGGTTTAGGGTTGAGGGTTTAGGGTTCAGGGCGTCTGCCTGCGCAGGGCTGTGTGTCCATGCGCCGATGGCGCCACCC